TCAACGGCCTGCAAACAGGGTGCGGAAGTGAAGGTGTTTCATGGCGTTTGATGGCTGCAGAGAATGACCCAGGATACAGCAGTTACGAGTCCAGGCACCCTGCGGGAAACTTGTGATTGTTAGAAAGATCCCAACGCACAACAGCAGCATGTGGAACTGCTGGTAAAGAAGCAGAACGGGAACGTCGGCTATGTCTCGGTGTTCTCGAGGCAGTTGTACTGATTGCAGTTGTTGCTTGCTATGGCAGGCATCCGAAACGGCGACAGCATCACAGCAGCCGGGCAGGTACTCATACCACAACTTCAAGGGACAAACAGCGCGCACCCCAGCCGAATCAAAGAAAGCCATGCCTTCAATCAATCACGGCACATCCAGACATAGCAAATACTATGATCCAATATGATGATTAACCACCGAAACCCTCAAACCCAAACTCTCCGCGACTCTAAAACTTTCTGAGAGATCGTGCGTTGATCCAATAAATTCCATGATGACTAACCACCGAAACCCTGAAACCCAAAATCTCCGAGACCCCAAACCCTAAACCCTAAACCCTAAACCCAAAACCCTAAACCATAATGTTTCCTCTCAACGTCTGTCCAATGTCTACGAGGCCGCCGCCCAGTACTCCGGAATCGACTTGCGGCAGCCCGTTCCCCAGCCCTGCACTCGATTTGTTAGGTTGTAGGGGTTGTAGGGTCGTAGGGTTGTAGGGTTGTAGGGTTGTAGGGTTTAGGGTTGTAGGGTTGTAGGGTTTAGGGTTGTAGGTTTTCGGGTTTAGGGTTCAAGAGCTCCTGGCCAAGCAGTTTCTCGTTTAGGCTCGTTGTTTAGAACATCGAAAAATACCCACCCACCCGAAGTTCCCATAACATTAAGAAATAAAAAGTTTCTTCTTTTTATTAGGATGGCTCAAAAACAAGACTAATGACCACCACTACAAACCAGGAGGTGGAAATACTAAACCACCCCTTGAGGCCCTGAAACCCTAAACACTCGGCCTTGAGGCCCTGAAGCCTTAAACACCAGGCCTTGAGGCCTTGACCTAAACACCAGGCTGAGGCCTTGAGGCCCTGAAACCCTAAACGCCAGGCCTTGAGGCCGTGAAACCCTATACGTGGGTTTAGGGTCTCAAGTGTTTGGGGTCTCAAGTGTTTAGGGGTAGGGTTGAGACTGTAAGAACTAGTGACTAGCGTTTTTGGGATGTAGGGTTTGGCGGATTGACCGGTTTTGGCTTCTGGTTTGTGTCATCCAATTCAGGGAAGTCTGGGACAGAAGGTTTAGGTGTTGCTTTAGATGATGCTTGTCGCCTGCGCCCTTGGTTTGAAACCCTAAACCCTAAACCCTAAACCCTAAACCCTAAACCCTAAACCCTAAACCCTAAACCCTAAACCCTAAACCCTAAACCCTAAACCCTATACTAAACCCCCTTGAAAGAAGCTTCAGAAGCCGTAACGAAGCACCCTCCACGATACACGGTTTAGGGACTTCGGCTCGGAGAACGTTGGGGTCAGGGCTTGAGGATTCCAAAGAACGAACCCCTAAACCCTAAACCCTAAACCCTTAAACCCTTAAACCCTAAACCCTAAACCCTAAACCCGGTTACTAAACCCTAAACTCGGTTACTAAACCCTAAACCCGGTTACTAAACCCTAAACCCTAAACCCTAAACCCTAAACCCTAAACCCTAAACCCTAAACCCTAAACCCTAAACCCTAAACCCTAAACCCAAAAACAACCTGTAGCAGCTCCACGGACAGCTCGAGGCCTCGCGCAGCAGCGCCGCTGCGCCGAGGATGAGGAGCAGCCGCCGCCTGCGGTCTTCGGAGGATGAGTTTGGGGTATAGGGTTTAGGGTTTCGGGTTTAGCGTTTAGGGTTTAGGGTTTAGGGTTTAGGGTTCAGGGTTAGGGTTCAGGGTTTAGGGTTTGGGGTTTAGGGTTTAGGGTGGCTTTGGGCACGGGGAAAGCAAAGGGCGTTCGGCCACGATGCTCCGGGGTGGCATATGACATAGGGTGGCCAGAGACCCCTACCTGACAAAGCCGAAGCATTGAGGTGTTCTACACTACCAACCCCTTACTCCGAACTCAAGAAAAGGGTTGGTTTCGGTTGAGGGTTTAGGGTTTAGGGTTTGGGGTTTAGGGTTTAGGTTTAGGGTTTAGGGTCACGACCCCTCCAATCTCCCACAAATCGGAAACTCGCCCACAGAAGCGAGCCCAATGATGATGAGCAACCCTAAACCCTCAGCTTGGGATACTCCCCCGTACTAACAGCTCCTTGATGGGGATTATCGTAGGGGGTACTAGAATCCCTATTGAGGACTGTTAGTATAAGGGGGAACGTCCCATATCCCAAGGGCTAACTCTAAACCCTAAACCCTAAACCCTCAACCCTCAACCCTAAAGCCCCAAGTTTTCGCTGCTCCCTCCCGCCCGAGCAAACGCTGTGCAGAAGGCGGCGCGGCGCTGCAGAGAGCCCGCCTCAAAGGGCGGTTTAGGGTTTAGGGCTTAGGATTTAGGGTTTAGGGGTTAGGTTTTAGGGTATTAGGGTCTTTTGGGGTTTTGGAAGGGGCCTTCAAAGGCTTCTGGAGTCGGGCTTAGGGCTCAGAGGTCGGGTCATGGGAGGTTCCGCGGGCTTGGTGGCTCTTTGGGGCACGAAGAGGGTCTTCATTCAGGGATTAAGGGTCTTCACTCTTAGGGTCTTGGTCTTCACTCTAAGGGTCTTCATTATCAGGGTCTTCATTCTCAGGGCTTTTATTCTCAGGGTCTTCAGTATCAGGGTCTTCATTATCAGGGTCTTCATTATCAGGGTCTTCACTATCAGGGTCTTCATAGGTCTTCTTATGGACCTCAAGCCTTGTCCTGCCCGAGGTTGAGTTGAGGCTTCAGTACCGAAGGTTGAGGTGCACGAGGAGTTAAACTTAAACCCGAATCAGGTGCCTGCCAGTGCCACTGGCCCCTCTATCGTTACGGAGTTTTTGGGACCCTAAACCCTAAAACCTAAACCCAAAACTCTAAACCCTAAACCCTAAATCCTAAACTCGAAACCCTCTTGCAATGGCTTGGCTTGGGCTTAGGGGCTCGCAGGGGCTTGTTTGGGCTCCCAGCCTGTCGGCGCGGTTGCGGCTCACTAAACCCTGCACTCTGAACAATGAACGTTCATCAAATGCGAGCCATAACCCAAGCCCGTCTGCCATGCCCCAGAAGCCTATAATAAAAATGTGTATACATATATATATATATATACATATAATGCATGTATATGTAAAAATACATTTTGTATGGATATATATATATATATATGTACATATATCTCTGCTTACCATCCTAAGCCCTAGAAAAACCTGACTGCCACTCGATAACACGACAGTCCGCGTTCCGCCCTACCACCTCAACTCGAAACCCTGAACAACGAAACCCATCAGCACACAAACCCTCAACCCTGTTGGTCCCGAGAAAAAGAAGTCTCACGCGCTTGAAGTGGGGGGTTTTACGATGTGCCGGACCTTATTGGGGTCCTGATTAGAAGAGAATCTACTATTTGGGGGTCTCTATTGGGGGGTCCCCTAGTTTCGTAAAAACCCTAAACCCTAAACCCTAAACCCTAAACCCGTAAAGTTGTAAAGCGGACCCTTCTTGTTGCACCTCGTCAGCCGCTCGCAGATGTGCGCCTCACATCTGCGAAGATCCCACGACTTCTCCGAGCTGGCATTGCAAAAACTACTGTTTTGTTAAGAGCCACCGTATTCTTCCGGTGTAGGGAGTATTGTTTTTTGAGTTCTTTGGGGGTTCTTAAGCAAACAGTAGAAAAGAAGCTTCTATGAACGGTCTGGGGAGCCGGCCGCAACATCCCAGCTCCAAAACAAATCAAAGTGCAACTAAACGACCTGTGCGCTCAGGAGCACAGGTGCTCTTTTCAGGGCAAGGCTTGTGCATTTGTCGCCCAGTTTTGGCTAAGGCGCGAGTGGTGGGGGTGGGTGGGGGGCGGGTGGGGGTGGGGGTGGGTGCTCATTGGGGGTGGGTGGGGGTAGGTAGTGGTGGGTGTTTTCTGTGCTCAAATACGCAACGCTCTGAAGAGTGCCAGCCCTAAACTCGAAGTATTTACCCTCAAACACATTCTTTGGAAGCCTTCTTATAGTGCAAGCCCAAATTCCTGCGATCCTGTCTCCTAAGCCCAACACTGAAGACCAAATCTACGGTTTCGGGCTGTTTTGCAGCCACTGAGTCCTTCCCTAAACCCTAAACCCTAAACCCTAAACCCTAAACCCTAAACCCTAAACCCTAAACCCTAAACCCTAAACCCTGTTCTTTGCGAGCCGGGGGGGGGGGGGGGGGCATTGCTTCAAACTTCTATACCCCTAGCTTTGAGATCACAGCCGGGGTTCACGGTTCTGAAGCCCGCAAGATATGACAACGCTGTTATTGTCTGAGTGCAACGACACAACACAACGCAACACAACGCAACACAACGCAACACAACGCAACACAACACTACACTACACATCCCAACAATGACATACTTAAGCACAAGCCATCCCGGAAAAGACGTTACCTGCGTCATGCAGGCTCCTGAATACATGCCTTGTCAAAGCATGCCCCTGAACTCGGGGAGAAAAAAACATGCTCCAACGCATAGCGACTAAAACCCACCCCAAGCACGTTGTGCTCGCCTCGTAAAAACCACAAAATAACAGATCCAGTACCTAGGGAAAAGTCGCCCCGAAAACTTTGCAAACCTGAGCCGAACTTCTCCAATCAAAACTGTCGCGCCCGCAAACGGACACGCGTCGCATCGCGGGGGTCGTTTCACGGTGTGTTGCCGATTTTGGGTGTATCGTAATTTCTGACCCGCAGCCGGGCACACAAACCAGTATAAAGCTCTTAAGACCCTAAACCCTAAACCCTAACCCCAAACCCTAAACCCTAAACCCAAAACCTGAAACAGCCATGATCATAAGACCCGCAAACTGAGTCGGCCTCAAGCGCCTCAAGGAAGTTGGTGTGGGCGGCGTGGCTTCCAGACCTCTAGAAGAGAAGGGCGCGGCTTCACACGGTCACATACAAGTACCCACTTTGACCTCCCCCTAAACCCTAAACCCTCTAAACCCTATGAGCCCTAGAAACGCTAAACCCTAAACCCTAAACCCGATACCGTCGCGGGCCCATCTTGGAGACCTCCTTGTAAAGAAGGGGCTTGTCGAGCGGAGTGTCTTAGGAGACAATAAGAACGGCTTTGTGAAAAAGGCTTAGGGTTTAGGGTTTAGGGTTTAGGGTTTAGGGTTTGGGGTTTGGGGTTTGGGGTTTAGGGTTTAGGGTTTAGGGTTTAGGGTTTGGGTTTAGGGTTTAGGGTTTAG